TCTCTCTAGTAAGGTCCCTGACGACACCGCAATGACTGCACGGCACGTTGCACCTTACATACCACCTTTCCGGCAATATTTCGTGTTTTCACCTTGATCCCTTGATGTCACTTCTTGAAAAAATGCGGAGGTGTTTATGGTGCTTACACTAGGACTCTACTGATTGTTATACTGATCTCACTTTTGTATCTCTGCGGAAATGTGCTGAATTCAGTTATCCCAACACTCAACCTGCTCTCTGTGGAAGAAAGATCTGTGGAAAGCTCACCTTCTTCAGTCACATTAATTTCCATTGCATAATTTAGAACTCTGATGATTCTTCACTTATTTGCCTCACATGTATATTGTTAGATAAAATAGAGCCTCAGCTGCCTGAAATCATATTAGAACAGCTTCTATCTACAGCGGAGCAGGTACCGCAGATGAAGCTTGGGTGGGCTCCTACTCTAGGGTTGAGCGAGGCGGAGAGGCGCCGTCGCTTATTTTTCGGAAAACCGAGCGACGAAAATAATTGTTGGGACATTTGCCGAGCTGCCGAGCACGCGCGCCAATAATTTGTGCCAGTCGCCTAGGGACGGTGAGCCTTTCGAAAGATTACGCAAATTCTGCTGACATAGACACAAATCCCGCTGACGTAGTATATATAAACGGTAATTACAAGATAGCCGATAATCACCCAACCCGATAATCCGCTTGAGAAAGCTCCCGTCCCTTAGGCGCTGGTCAGGAGTCTGGCCTAAACCATGAGCTAGTAGGCTAGTTCTGCAGGATGTATTGCAACCGAGCACTGCGTACTAGTAACTGTATGCGATATGAACGACGGGTTGGTCCGAGGACGGGTCGTTGCGGAGCTGGAAAAGCTTCGGCAATCCCCGAAAACGAAAAGATCTAGAAAGACAAATATATACAAATAGAGACCGTGGCACGAGCTCAAACCTGCATTTAACGACGGACCGAGCAGTTTCGCCTCCGAGACCTTGACTGAATCTCTTGCAGAAAAAGACGAAGGTATTCACGCAGGCTGCTGAACAGTACAATGAGAGGCAAATATTTCTTTCATCCAACGTTATTCGGCCAAACGAACGCAGGCCATACCCGTACAAAACCTTCAAAAGATTGTCCGTCTCCGACTGAGGCCACGACACCCGACCCGTCTTCGGCACCTCGCTCAAGCCGTGCAGTACTAGCGGCAATACAGCACATCAGCATCACAGGGCACACGACACAAGCAACGACAAAGGTACGCCCCTGAATGCTCCCACTGTAAGTGATGCCCCCGAGGACGAGGGTGCCCTGGGAGGGATCGCGGCACTGGGTGCCGGGGCAGGCATCGCACGACATGGTGCGGCTCTGGTTGCCCTGGACCAAGCCGCTTGCAGACGTGATCGTGCCGGTGAACGAGCAGTACGGTACTGCGGGGCAGCTGTTCGCTTGGCGCACCGTGAGCGTCGTGGGGACCGCCATGGCGAGGCCGGCGGCAGCGAAGAGCGCGACGAAGGTGAGCTGCATCTGCGCGTGAACGTCAGTGGGGGCAGCGTCGAGCCAGAGAGAGAAGGGGGCGCACGGTGGTGTTGTTCAAGAGGGCTGGGATGCAGGAGACACGGGTTGTGCTGCTGAGCTGTGCCGGCATGTATCCCATCTCTTTTATACCCTGCGCAACTGCTGTATCCCAATCGGGCGTTGGATTCCAGGGGCAGTCCTGTCGACCGTCGGTGTCGCGTGCATGCGATCTGCGACGAGGACCCGACGTGAAGTCGGCCTTTGGAGGAACAGAGCGCGGGATGCCGAGTGGAGAGGACGGGCAGCATGGAAAAATTCGCAGACGAATAGAAAGGCGGTGGGCATACATGGCAAATGCCATTCTGTTGCAGTCATGCAGTGAGGGGCATCAGCCGGGTGCCACGGGCTTCGTGGCGCTGTCTAGGCCTATTCGCTCGCGAGAACGGTTGATGCCCTCTGATTCGATACAAGCCGCCGTAGTTCTTCCCGCGCACCGTAGAGCACTTGGTTGTGTAACTCTCCAGAAGGACGCTGAGTGAGTATTTTCTCCCAACAGACAACATGCTGGGGTAACAGCGACCCACAGCGGGGCACACTGAAGCAGCGCGTAGAAGCGCAAGAAACGTAAGTTACGTGAAATGGAAGCGAGGCACTTGGAAAAATCTCGACGTGCAGGCACAGGAACACGCCCCACACCGATGCACGTGGTCTTCGCTCGGGGGACAATATACGTTGCGCCGGCGCACTGCGCTGAAGGCCCAGGCTTGTCTCTTGTTGGTTTCCACATGCAACACAGACGGTGTCAATCTACGAGGAAACATGACGGCCAAATCCGGCTGGGCCTGGATCTCGGGGGCCAAGGCTAGTGGCGATGCGTTCGATACGCTGTACCGGTGGCAATACTCACGTCGCGCACTTGTGAAGGACAGCGATTTGTGCCTTAACAGCCCGATGGGCCGAGACCGGTTGCTGTAGCGTTTCTGCCGACGCCTCTGTTCGGAAGAGCGACTGCGCTGGTGAAGAGTTGGTCCGCCAAAAATGCTGTCTGCGAAGAGGCTCAGTGTGACTAGTTCACGAGAGTAGAAGGTGGAGGTTCGAAGCGGGAATCCAACTTCGTGTCCTAGAGCAACGCTGTAGGGTGCAACGTACGAGAGGACGAAACACCTGAGTTCAGCGCCCGGGGTCTGCACATGCAGCAAACATGTCCAAACAAATACCGCGAATGGCTGATGCTGGTTGCATCGAGAATAGAGCGGCACGTTTACTGGCATAACTCAGGCCTCACCGAGGCATTATTAGAAGCAGGAGTAGCTTGGTGACACATTTTCGGAAATCTAGGAGTACAATACGAGCGACACGACTCCAAAGTTAACCGCCCATCGGAGCTTATTCAAGCTCACTGACACATCTGTAACACCATCTCATGAGCACGAAACTCTGCCCAGGCGAGTACGCCAACATCGAGAGCTCACCATAAAGGTGTGGTGCATACCGCCTATGGTGACGGTGAAGGGCTGGCCCTCAGTTACGGCTACGTTACCAACGCCGGGAATGGTTATCCGGCCCGGCGTGCTTCGAGCCATAGGCACGCATGTCGTGTGGTTGTCCAAAGTGCCGTCGCAGTCCTGGCCTACAGTGACGGGGAAGGATGCTCCGCCGATTGTGAGTGTCCCGGAGATGCTGCAGGCTGGCGAGGGCAGCGCCTTGAGCGCAGAGCTTGCAGCGGCAAGGGCGATGGTGGCAAGGACGGAACGTTTCATCTGGGGCAGGAAAGGGAGTCAGTGAACGGAGAGGGCTCTGCGAAGGGCACGAACTGCGAAGGGCGCTAGCTGCCAGGTGGTGAAAGTGTTGGTAGATGTATGCGACACGAGCGTGTTGTTGCTGCACGGCAACCCTTGTTGGGGCTATTTATGCCGCCTTCCGCAACCAGGGCCTGAGATCTGGTAGTCCCTCTCGAACCTAAGCTCTCCAAGGGTGTTATTAATCGGGCGTCCGTTACCAATTCACGCTCATTAAGGAATTTACGACGGGTGGTATAGACTCTGGGGCTCCACGCATTAGACAAGTGGCGGTTGGAAGGGAGCAAAGCGAGGGACATACTTGGCCCATGCCAATTGCCAGGCTAGCACAGCCGCCTTGCTTAAGTCAGATTTGCCCCGGCGCGACGCCACAACGAGCAAACACGTCGCAATATTACCCAGTATAGTGTGCCTGGCCGCTGCGAGGGGAGCAGTTGCGCGCTTGGGAAGCTCTTCGTATGCCACTTTCAGCGCGCACCTTACACATGCGGCGCGCGGATCGCGTCGTTATCGGGGCAGGTGCCGCAGGAAGGCCCCTTGTTCGCTTCCGATCCCTACACCCGCATCGCGTAGCCACGGACGTTCCAGCCTCCGCTCGTTGGCTGCCCGTGAAGGAGCAGACTGTTTCTTGCCTGGATATATATGTAAACCCGTTTGTCTCTCGGAGGTCGCGCAGCTGTTCGTCGCGGAAGGCGTGCATCTTCACACTGAGAGAGAACGAGACTGCTACCATGCTTGAGACCCAAGTACACTCAGGTGAAGGGTGGTAGTATGTTACATAAGTAATGCGCAGAGCGTATCAGAGAAGCGAGAGTTCGGGACGAAACTGCAGCCCGGGATGGGCTAGCGCCAAAAGCCACGCGGGCGTCGGCGTCGGCCGCCGTACTGTATAGGCGCGTCAAACTTAATTCTCGACGTGCTGCATCATAGCTTTCGCTGGCTACTATACATCTCCAGAACAGAGCGAGTAACATGGGAAGTCCCAGCGATAGGATCGCCATTGACATAGATTCTTGAGCGTTCGCTCAAGAGCGACCTCTCCAGGATTAGTAGCCGATTGTTTGATGACGGGCTTGCGAGTTTAACCGCAAGCCCAACATCTTCAATACCACTTGAACGCATATGTGGGCGCACACCCGTAGGTTCTGTGCAGACCATTGAAATGTGTCCGCGCAAACTTGTGCAAGCAGGGTTCGTTAACACAAGACGACGCGCTCACATCTGCGTTTTGCGGCAGGCTCCGACTCCTAGGTGGAAAGATGAGGACGCCAGTCGCGCAAGCTCCCGCGTAATGAAGAGCAACATGGCATATGCCTCTCCCGTTTCAACATCACTTGCTCAAGCGAAGTTACAATTTTCACATCCCGCAGCGCAGGCTGTATCCATGCACACCTTTGAACCAACAACCTCCTGCAAACGGGACTGCGACGACTGACGTCCCTCTCCCCTAGTCCAATACGTGCAATGCTAGCACGACGCGCCGTGTCAGCAAACCAGAACACACAAGACGTCTAGCATGACAATGCACACACCGCGATGTACCCATTGAGGGTCCCGGCGCCGACGTTGATGCTGCCCGGGTTGGGTGCGCCGCAGCTGGTGTAGGGGCAGCCCGCGCACGACTCGGTGAGTGTCACTCCGTCCTGCGTGGTGCCGTCCCGGTGCGTGACCGTGCCGTAGAAGTAGCAGTACGGCACCGCGGGGCAGTTGCCCGTCTGGCGGGCCGTAAGCGTCGTAGGTACCGCCAGGGCGAAGCTGCTGGCGGCGGCGGCGGCGAAGAGCGCGACGAGGGAGAGCTGCATCTGTGCGTAAATGTCAGTCAGGACGGAGCTGGAGCCGGGGAGAGAGAGGGGCGCACAATGGCTGTCTGTTCGGAGAGCTGAGAGCCCGAAAGCACAGGTTACGCTGCAGAGCTGCGGCGACTCGGAGCCCGTAGTTTTATACCCCTGCACGATCGTTACATAAATCCTGAACTTCTGAGCCGATTTCAACAGCAACTTGTCAGCTCTCAGGGACATATGCGCAAGTTCCGTGACAAAGAGCCGACGCGACGTCGGTATTTGACGGGACAAATGCAACATGTCCAGCGGCGACGTGGTGAGGACACACAGGAATAATAAAAGCAGAAAATGGACGACGCGATGCTGCTGAGGACATGCAAATTTTAAATGAGTAAAAAATTATGAATTTCATGAAACTGTCATAGCTTATTCGCTCGCGAGAATATTAATGGTCGATGTCCTTCATGATCCGGGGTGGACTTGTTACATCCCTGCCCCTTCGCCGCGGACTACACTATTGCTGAGCTCTTCAGGATCGATACAAGCTTTCGATAAAGTCAAACTGGACACTTTTCAGCAAAGCGTCGATACCCACAGTCACTAGTAAGAGTACGTACCAAACAAATATTCTTGTAGCTGCTTTCAAATGCGTTGATTTTCGCAGGCAGCGCCGACAGCGGCATGTAGACGCCCCAGCAACTTAAGGGCATCGAAATACTTGTTTGTCCGTCCAGTGTGCCTGGCCGCTGTGGGGAAACGACTGCACGCATGCAAAGCTCCTCGCACGTCACTTCTAGAGCGTATGAACGTGCTGCGGGACGATCCCAGTTTACTTGGAGAGGAAGGAGAGCAAAAACTTACACAGAACAGGCACCTTCGTGCGCCGAGCTCCGCAATGTGAACTGATCGAATCTGCGTTTTGAGCAGTTTGAAAATCATCTCAATGACGGAGCTCGCGTGTATGGTGCTGTTTATATGAGCATATGTACGCGTATAAAGATTCTCAGCGCTTGAACTCGGGCATGGGAAAAGGTAAAACGTCTGGCAGCGGCTCGGCACTTGAACAGATCCATGCTGAACAACTACTCTGTGTTCTCATTGAACGAGGGCCCGTTGGCTTCGCCACCCTCGCCTATACCGAAGACATCAGGCTGCGGTGACGTGCTAAAATTAAAATTGAATGGGTCCTTGTGGAACTACTAAGTAGTGTATCGCCGCCTCATGTCTTCTTGTACCAACAGCTACACACCTACATCGGCTTGAGGTTCGAAAGCTTGAACTTTAATTGCTTCGCAGAGCGGTATGCTGCAGCGTTGGGCAGTCAATGACCGAGTCATCCCAGTCACGGTCATTGACTGACAGCTGGTCACTGATGGGTCAATGACCGAGTTACAGTCAATGACTGGGCGGTTTCGTGATCCCACGCAAGCGAAATGCCGGGGTCGAGCGCTTGGGGGGACAGACCCCAATGGCCCGATGGCGCCCTGCGATATGGTTGGCTGCCAAGGTGGGACCCGGAAAACCGGCCAGTCACGGTCATGTCTGACTCGGTCATTGACCAGTCATTGACCAGAGTGACCAGTCACTGACCAGTCACTGACCGGCACAACGCTGAGTATGCTGCACAAGCGATTAGTGCGTGCTCTCCGCCGTCTGCGGTATTCTCGGCTGTTGCATAAGTGACATCAGTGTTGTCGCCCCGCTCTCCTGAAGCTGAAGTCTCATGCGATCAGACACTGCTACTGCGTCGGTGCGTATTCTCCCGATCACGGCTCCATGTGTACACCTCTGTCAGCATAGGGCAAGAATAGCTGCCCGAGGGGCCTGCGCCGACGGCGCGCCTGGGGCGGGAGTTGGTGTCCGGTGTCCCGCCCCCTTCAGAGTCGCTCTTTATGATACGGCATCCCGGTCAACGCGCTCATGTGCTGTGAGACATTGATATTGAACCATCCTCAGATGTCCCACCCTAACAGCTCATACAATAATCGGTAAGAAATGGCCAATTATTCGATTCCACCTCGGACAGATCAGCTCTCGAAATAAGGTGTCAGGTGGCTAGATTGGGCTCCGACATTCCATCATGATCTACAACGAAGCGCCTTACTCCCGCCCTCACCCGCCGCCTTCGAAACTTGACGTGTAGGGGTCAACACCTCACCGAAATTGACAGAAAGATGTCCGTGCTTATTTTTTCCCCAGGAAAACCATCAAGGTGTGTAGAAAGCGATACAAGGAGGGTGTTCGTGGAAGGGCGCTTACTGCCCTCGGATGCTGAGTGTGGCCGGCCCTCAAGAAGGCCTGCCCGAGGCAAATCAAAGATCTGACCACCTCCAATTGCTTAGGCTTCCTGGAGCTTATATGATCCTTGCCATACGCAACTGCCTGCAGGTGCGTGGGCAAGTCGCTAAGTGTGATCCCCATCTGACCAGTGCCACTATCGCGCTAGCCGTATCTCCCGTGACCCTCGGAACACCAACAGGCGCTCTGAAGCGCAATGTATATCTTTTCAAGCCCATACATAATCGCCAACACCGCTCGGAAGGGCGCGCTTGCGGGTGAAACGATTGCTGGGCAATGCCTCTCCGGAGGTTGGATACTGGCGAATGCCTGTTGTGCAGGCTCCACTGCGGCATGGTTCCGAGGCATGCACATGGGCCAGGACATTGAGGGTGCATAAAAGCATCTACGAGGGCTGCCTGCAGGCGAACAAAATCTCCAGCCCTCGCCTGCTCCTCTAATCCTTGCCGGCCCCCCATGTTCTGCAAAGCGACCCTGGTCTCTGTAGTCCTCGCTCTCCTCGCAATCGCGAATCCCATTGCCCAAAATTCTGGGGTCAGCGTTGCGCTGGGGAAGCGCAGCACATTGACTCGTCCTGACGGGACCTTCGACCACGAGAAGGCAGTCCTACACAACGTCAAGACCCAGAAGTACGTCTTCCGCCGTCCTCCGCTTCGTACTTTGGATTCTGACCTCTCTGTGGTGCACTCTGCAGCAAGTACCAGAGGAACATTCGGAACGTGCTTGCAAACAAGGGCAGTCTTCCCGAGGGTTGGGAGGCTAGGGAGTTCCGCTCGGTCCCTGCCGGCCTACAGAAGCGTGCCACTGGCTCTGTATCGCTAACAGACGAGGATGACGACGCGGAATGGTTGGGAGGCATCTCTATCGGCACCCCCAGCCAGCCTTTTATCGTCCAATTCGACACCGGCTCGTCCGACCTGTGGATCCCCAGTTCCTCCTGCTCAAGCTCAATCTGCAGCGGTAAGCACAAGTATAAGGCGTCGGACTCCGTCACCACCTCCAAGAAGGGTGGTAACTTCTCACTCGTGTACGGCGATGAGTCGAGCGTCTCTGGTCCTATTTACACCGACGTCGGTGAGTTGTTCAGGGTTCAAAATCGCAAGCTCCGCTGAGATCCCCTCGTAGTGACCGTCGCTGGCCTCACCGCGACTGGCCAGCACTTCTCTCCAGCCACGACGCTTTCGAGCGAGTTCGCAGACGATCCGACTGACGGTGTCTTGGGTCTTGCTTACCTTGCCGCCTCGAGACTCAACGCGGTAAGCCTGCTTTCATGTCGCTTCCCTTACACACGCTGACGCTACCTTCTTCAGACCCCCTTCTTCAACACGCTGATCAGTCAGGGCAGAGTTAGCGCATGTGAATTCGGTTTCAAGCTCGCCTCAAAAGGCTCGGAGCTCTACCTCGGCGGCACCGACACCTCACTGTACACCGGCTCGATCGAGTACCACTCGATCAACCAGTCGATGGGCTTCTGGCAGACGACGGGTGCGAAGAGCGTCGTCGGCTCTACGAGCCCCAATACCAACCTCGAGACGATCATCGACTCGGGCACGACGATCATGTACGGCCCGCCGAGCGCAATCAAGACGTTCTACGCGGCAGTCTCGGGCAGCGAAGTCGTGAACGCGACCGAGGGCTTCTACTCGTACCCGTGCAATTCGCCCCCGGCCGTCGGCTTCAGCTGGGGAAACAAGACCTGGCAGATCAGTAGCGACAAGTGAGTCGGCCCGGGAGGCCCCGCTGCCACCGTGCGGGTTTATGCTGACCCTGTCCCGCAGCTTCAACCTCGGCCAAGTCAATAACGGCAGCAGCCAGTGCGTCGGCGCACTCGCAGGCCAGGACCTCGGTCTCGGGAGCAACGTCTGGCTGCTCGGCGACAGCTTCATGAAGAATGTCTACACTGCGTTCTCGTTTGATAAGAATGCTGTCGGCTTCGCCAGCCTCGCATAAGCATCAAAACACTCGGGCATGTAGTAACGTAGCATTGTTATATGTTCTTGTGATCGCTCTGCTGTTATCGCGGACCCTGTGCTGTGTGTAGGACTAATTCGAACCCTTCTTATATCAATAATATTATTGTCGCAAAGTATCTTGTGCAAGATACGGCAGATAAACCAAACTATGTTCTGAGAGCCCTTAGGCTTTATTTAAACAGCTTACAGCCCACTGTATGCCTCATAAATATGACATAAATGGTATATTGTGCTGTCGATAGAAGACAGATTGTGGAAGCGGCGTTGAGCGTTGAGCACAGTCCCTGGCGAGGCAGACTCGGGTTAGGATATCTTCGGTCGATTAGGCGCTACTGGCCATGTTATCCTGGTCTTGGTCCCAGCCTAGTCCCCACATCGTCGCAAACATCAAAAGTTACTTCCTTGATCGCTACATAGCGCATTGGCTGGCATACATTTCATACTCAACTGTCACATTTCGTTGTCAATTGCATACACAGTACATAGAGAGGCTGGTCCTGTCCCCCTCCTTCCACATCGTTCATACTTGTACTCAAGCCGCCGACGCAGCGGGCGCCGCGGTGGTCTGGCACGTCTGTGCACGCAAAAAAAACCACAACATCGTCAGCAGCCACCCCTTATAGATATAGACCAGGGTACCCACCGAGATGTCACCCTCGAAGCCACCCCCGAGTGTGTCGAGGTGAGTCGCGTTGAGCGGCAAGCACGCGGTGTCCGCGCAACCCACGCAGGCCTCGTCGGGGTTGAGCGTGATGTTGGGGAGGGTGAGGCCGCCCGGCAGCGTCAGGGTGCCCGTGAATGAGCAGACCGTCGCCGCGCAAGTAGGCGGAGTCTGGCGTGCCTCAAGCGCGGGGCTCGCGCCTGCGATGGATGCGGCGGCGAGGACGAGAGCAAAGACGTTGCAGTACATCTGGGGCGAAGCAATTAGTAGAGGACGGAGAGGATGAAAGTGCGAACGGACTGTTATAGCTGAGTGTGTTGGAGAGGCTTGGTTCGAAGCGACACAGGGGTGCTGCTGAACCATCCAAGGCTCGACGATGCTCTCTTATATGTTCGCGAGGTATATCTCTCCCGACGCATGTGCGTCGCAGCACGCCGCGCTGCAGCTGGCCCTCGCAGAGCCGTGTAAATCTGCCTGGCCCTTGGAAGTCGCGCAGCCGTTCGTCGCGGGACACGAGACTGAACAGAGAAGGAGTGCGCGTACACGCCGGCAGAGGACGAGCCCACTGCCTGACGCTATGTTTAGGGCCCCTGTACGCGCAGGTGGAGCGGGGACGGTCAAACAGTGCGCCGGGCAGGTTCGCGAAACATCGCGTACTGTATTGTGCAAAGCCTGCTTGACGTTCAGGACGAGACCATATAGACATATGCAGCCCGTCAACGTCTGCCGAAGCGTTCTTGTCCTGCCGAGAATGCGTCTCATGCACATAGGAACTGGATACTGTGGAATACAGACGTAAGCATCCGGTATACATTCCGATGGCAGAGTAAGTACCTTGGCACTGTCCGTGGTATTTCTAGCGCGAGAGCCAGTTTTAGGAGAGTGCGCTGGGAGAGGAAGATACTTTGAACGGCATGCGCGGCGTGCCGACGAGGTTAATTGACAGCCTTTGTGATCTTCATGAACCCGAGGGGAAGATTCTGCAGAGTCGGGAAACTGCGTATATGACGTAGCGTGTCGGATAACGGAGCCTTTCATCGCAGGGGAGGAAGCTGCCGCAGAACTATAATTTCGATGTATGTTCTGCGAGTTCTCTCGGGTGATGGTCGGCTTCATTAGTGTTCCTGGTCAATATACTGTTACTTGTCTTAGCAGAACGACATCATAAGCGCGTCATCAGAGAGACTTGGAACACAGCGACTAACATTCAGAAGAGACGTGGCATCTAGTACTGTTCCTGAGCTATCCCGAGTTTTCAAGCCTGGGTTACGCGGTGAACATTGGACGTTTGAACAGGCACGGGATCGTGCGTCTTTCTGCGCAAAAGGTCGGAAAATAATGCAAAAATCAAGAACGGAAGACAATATATTTAATGCAGCTCACCTCTCTTTGTGCGCATTCTACACCAAAATACTAACGAGAAGCACTTAAGTCGGTCGCGACATGCAGAAGTCTCGCGATTGAGTTTTGGTTGAATCGTGAGAAGGGTGATTGTTTGGCGGTATTTGGCTCGCTCTATATTTCGCACGTATGGTTTCCCTTCGTGGCGTTGAGCGACTCCGTTCTTCATCTCGCCAGCCAACCTGGACTCAAAATTCTCGTCGACCTGCCCCTTATGACATCATCAGTTACACAAAGTGTAACCGGTTTCACAATAGCGTTTATAACTTTCGTGAAAATGCCAGGCCTCGTTGGGTTTGGCGGCGCGCCCGTGCACGACGTCCGCGTAACGCTATTGAGTCGTCAATATCTCTCAGGTGTGTCTATTCTTGAAACTAGACTCTTGAATCACTGCGTGTGGCTAGCTAGACACATTGAAATGCGCTCATGTAGCTCGCTGTAACGTCAGCCACTTCTCGCTCCCGTTTTCAAAACGAGAACAGCGAAATTATTCTTAAAACGAGACAGTGAACGCCTCCGGAAAGTACAACATCAAGTGCGTCTAGAAACTCTTCGCAGTGAGTTTCTCACACGCAGGGCCCGGCTTCAACTGTCGGGCGCGCTTGAGGCTAGCAGAACGGACGCTCAGTCCGTAGCTCAGAAGAAGGGAAGTCTCTAAGATGTATTTACCTAGCAGAACGGACGCTCAGTCCGTACTGCAATACAGTCAGTACCCTACAGTGTCCATAATGAGAGGATATACGCACGCTCAGAAGAAGGGAAGTCTCTGAGCGTGCACGACAGGGAAAAGCAAGTAAATAAGGAAAGCGGCAGGTGCCTTAGCAACTGGTGAGTCAGGAACGAAATAACGAACGCGCTATCTAATAAAATACTGTCCAATAGGAATCTGAGTCATCCCGAGACATGTGCGTGCGAGCGCACGAGCCCAAAATCCAACACTCCCCCTCAAGCCTTTGCAAGGCCGAGGGCAGAAGCAAAGTGCTTGGCCTTCATAGACGGCAGAGCCTTCGTAAGGGTATCAGCGATCATGTCCTCGGTAGGAC